GTCCTTGAACCATACTTTGAGAATCTCTGCCCTATGCTATTTTTTTTAAAGATAGATTTATTTATTTATTTATTTATTTATTTATTTATTTATTTATTTATTTATGAAACAGAGAGGGGCAGAGACATAGGCATAGGGAGAAGTAGGCTCCTTGTGGGGAGCCCAATGTGGGACTTGATCCCAAGACCCCAGGATCACAACCTGAGCCAAAGGCAGACGCTCAACTATTGAGTGACCCAGGCATCTTGTTTTAATCCTATGCGGTACTAGAGCAGGTACTATATTAGTTCCATTTTATTTTTGAGGAACCATAGGTGCAAAGAAGAAGGTGGGAAGGTACCCAAAGTCAAATAACTTGCCATTAAATGGTGCTTGTAGTATTCCAGGCTGACCTTAAACTCATGCTCTTTCTTCAAAATCTCCGTCTGAAACTTTCAACGTGGGACGCCTGAGTGGCTCAGCAGTTAAGCATCTGCCTTCGGCTCAGGGCATTATCCTGGAGTCCAGGGATCAGAGTCCCACATTGGGAGCCCTGCATGGAGCCTGCTTCTACCTCTGCTTATGTCTCTGCCTCTCTCTCTGTGTCTCTCATGAATAAATAATATCTTAAAAAAATAAACTAAAAAAAAAAACTTTTAACATACATACTGATGGCAAGGTTTGCAAATATATTGAATAGAATAAGGGGGAAATTTTTCCGAATTTATAAAATGAAACAAATTCAGATCTCCTAAAAAAAAAAAAAAACCCACACACAACTTAGATACATAATAGGTTCAAACTTCTCTGTATAATAGACCTTTGAGGGACGACACCTGGGTGGGTCAGCGGTTGAGCATCTCCTTTTGGCTCAGGGCATGAGGTGATCCCGGAGTCCCAGAATCGAGTCCCATATCGGGCTCCTTGAATGGAACCTGTTTCTCCTGTCTCTGCCTCTCTCTGTCTCTCTCACGAATAAGTAAATAAAATCTTTAAAAAAAAAAATAGACCTTGATGTTTTAAGGTAACACAACCAGATTTTATTTTAGCTCAATAAAGCCAATCCATCACAAAGTTATTAAAAAACATTTTCTAATTGACCTACTTTGCAAAATTATTAGCTAGGTTTTTCATAAAGCCTTCATTCATCATTTCTTTTTTTTTAATTTTTTTATTTATTTATGATAGTCACAGAGACAGAGGGAGAGAGAGAGAGAGAGAGAGAGAGAGAGAGAGAGAGGCAGAGACACAGGCAGAGGGAGAAGCAGGCTCCAAGCACCAGGAGCCCGATGTGGGACTCGATCCCGGGTCTCCAGGATCGCGCCCTGGGCCAAAGGCAGGCGCCAAACCGCTGCGCCACCCAGGGATCCCCATTCATCATTTCTTTGACTATCAATATTATCTTCTCTAGTATGTGGAATAGCCAAAGATTCCTATGCATACAGAAAGATCTTAGAAGTTTTATTTAACAATTTTGGGTGGAAATTTTAAAATGTGAGAGAAGTTGCAGAAAAATAATTGATCATTTTATATTTACAAATACGAGAGCCAAAATGAAAGAGTGCTTCATCTTAAGATGCCTTATCTATCATCAAAGTGATATTTATACTGTACTAATAGAATTAGTATTGGTATTTAAGAGAGACTACAAAACCTTGTTTACTAACTGAATTGCAGTAACTGTATTAGCTCAAACTAAATAAACTAGAACAGCTTTATACCAGTATCTATTTTTGTTTAATTCAAAGTTAACTTGAAATTTAACACCTTTTGATTTTTACTTATTTTTAAAAAATCTACTGTATTAGATTGGATTCTCAGATCTACGATAGTCAGACGATAGCTTTTCATTTACACAGTTTTTCATTCTCTGAGGCTGTAAGAATCTTCAATAAAAATGGGACAAATGGAGTAAGACATCTCTTTTTGTAGAAAATAAACAGTCTTAGATATTTTCTCTGTGGTTCCTACCACTGTGACTTTATTATTAATTATCATTAAGACAAGGAGACAAAGTTGGCAGAGGAATGTGTACAGCTTTTTTGAGATACTTACTCATGGCTATAAATACAAAGGTAAAAACAGAAATATTCAAAGTGCCACGTGATAACAGACTTTATACAATGATTTTAACTTTTTAATTGTACTTTCACATGATTATGGAGGTATAACATTTTATAACCTAGAGAAAGACTGTTTGCAGAAATCATTTTATCATGGAATAGTAGCTCTTATCATGCCCTGTAAAGTTTTCAATGCAGAGTTGTACTGATGTCTGCGTCCTACTCCAGACCAACCCAAACAGAACTGCTGAGAGTGAGGCTCAGATCCTTTTTAAAAATACTCTTCAGGTGGTTCTAATATGATGCCTCAGTTAAGAACCACTATGTTAGAAGGGAACCAAGGAAACTGAAGAAAATATTTCACACTGTAAAATTACAGAGAAAAAAAAGCAATTGTGGGGATTACACCAATTAATTAAATGAACAAGAATCAACTATTGTAATTCTAATTGTGACTTTAAACAAACAAACAAACAAAAAAATGAGCCAGACTCTAAGAAACAAAAGTGCTCCCAAACTAGTAAATTGGGCACTGGGGGCAAAGGAGGTACACATCATTTTCAGACTTCTTCTAAAAAAGTACTTAGGGAAAAGAGGTATTTACTCTCATGCACCATTATGCCTATTTTCATAACATCTGAAGACATATGGAAATTGCAAACCTGAAAATATTGAGATAAAATCTGCAGTAATTCCAGGCATCTGCTCATGAAAATATTAGAGAACAGGGTAAGAAGCAGAGGTGGTAGATGACACAGGAAGAGCAGTTATGCTCTAGAAACCTTTAACGGAACAGGGAAACGTTAGTTTGGGGCCTGCCTGTTGCCAGACACGGCCAGCCTACTACATCTCTAACCATCTAACCAACATGTGGGATGCCTGATAAAGCCACAGCACCAGGCAAACAAGAGTGTTAACACTGGTGAGTGCAAACTGCTAGTGAACCTTAAAAAAATCAGAACCCTGTGAAGGAAAAGAATTCTTAGTCTACTAAAAAAAAAAAAAAATAAGGTACTCAAAGGACAGTAGGAAGTTGGATAACAACGATGCTAGTACAGACCTAGAATACAGTACAAACAAGAATAATTATAACTTCTGAATATAGGTGAACCAATACTTCCTTTGCCGCAGAATGCTCCACAAACACGTTATCCACATTGGTTAATGAAGCCCTTTGCTTAAAGTGCTTGGAGTTTTTCACAAGGAACAAAAAGTCATTGTATGATTGATATGTACAGTTAAGAAATGATTTAGAAAAATTTCAAAAATAACAATAATATTAACACCTTTTGTTCACTTAAAAAGAAAGAAAAATTCCTGATAGCAAAGGGAAAGCAGATGTGTGAATAAATTCAATTACTAATCCTGACACTGATGTTTGTTTCAAATACTTCCCTCTTCCTCTACTCTCCCTAAGTTCAAGTAGCAGTATCTTTCCTATCCTAGAGGGAATAATACTGTTCTAGTTAAAATAGTTACTATTATAATGAGTAAGTACTACATGCAAGGCCTTGTGCTAAGTGCTCTATGAACATTCTTTTCATCCTCATCTTGACTATGTGTTATTTTTATTTCTATTTTACACATGAGGAAAAACGTAGGCTTAGAACACACAGCTAGAAGATAGTATAAAGTGGGGATCGAAAGCTAGGTCTGACTACATAACCTGCGCTGGTAACAATAAACTGGAGTAGTATTTTTCTTAACTTCCTTCTCCTAAAAGATTGAAATTCACATGCAATCTGGAATAAAGAAGCAGAAGAGGGGCACAGGAAGTGGTGTAGAAGTACTTTATAATTTATCAAGATAAGAGCACCTGCACTGCTTTTTTAAGACAAGGAAAAAAAAAACAAACAAACCCTGCAATAATTTAAAACCCCTAACTCTATTATGGCCCTATTATTATGAAAAGGACAAGTTTTTCTTTAACAAGATGGTCAAGCACCACCTACGGGCCATAGTAAATAAATCACTTTGGTTCAGTGGTGGGGAGGGCATTATGCAACACTTCCCAGCACTGCCCTTGCCAGGATATTTTACGGCCAAGACTCTTGGGCCCCTCCTCCCCAGCTAGACAGCCTGGCTCCTGCGCATTCCCCTCAGGAGATAGGGTGGAAGCACACAGCTCCATTTTCTAAGGCAAAGAGGGCAGCTGAAAGTCCTGCTCAGCCTCTCTGGGCAACCACAGGCGCCAATAAATCAGCCACAGGCGATTCTCTCATCCCTTTCCTGGCTTGAAGTGGTAGCAAGATACAATGCAAAAGAGCACTGACTGGACTTGGGAGATAAGTGATCTAGCCTTGAGTTCTACTGCAAATGACAGCATCATAGACAGCCAGGTAAATCTCTGAGGCTGTTTCCTTGTTTGTAACATAGAGAAAACACTACCTCTTTTTTTTGTTAAGGTACTTAAAATTCATCTATGAAAGTGGCTAGCCACTGCAGGCGTTCAATCAACAGCCAACAACCTGAGCAGAATTCATCTCCACTACCTCCAAATAAGACATTCAGGGAATGGTTAGGTAAAAAGGTAAAGCAAGTCATGTGAGGCCCCTCCCTGCTTTGTTGCTGCTCATCCCTGTGATATTCCACTGGTTCCTGATCATCTCCCGGTCATCAGAACTAACCTACTCCAAGTGCTATCCCGGTACCCTACTCCCTATTAAGAAATTGATTTCTGATAATGGATAGTTTACCCTTAATCAACACAGATCTAGACTGCTAACGAAAAAGTTAATGCCTTAACCTGAGGGAGCAACCAGTGCTGCAATTGTTACTCTTTGCAGAGAATAGGGCTGAAGTTTGGAGGGGATGGGCTTTGAGGCCCAAAATACATCACAGGCCATCTACTCCACCTAGAGATAGATACATACCAAACCCAGTCCTTAAAACACCAGAGCCATCACACACTGGCCAAGCCTGGTTTCTCAAAATCTGAAGCAAGCCAAGTATAATCACCTCTGGCAAATGGTCTCTACAGGGAGTGGGTTAAACTGGCACTGCGCTCCTGGTGTGGTGGAGGGCCCAAGGCCTGGAACCCTGGAGTCCAGTTACTCAAAAAGGTGTAGGGCTTAGATTCAAACTACGCGTTCCTTAGACGGGGTGTCTTCGTCTGTAAAACAGAAGGATGAACTGGATTTCCTGGTAGGCCCCTTTCAGCTTTTAAAATCTGTCATCCCAAAGTGTGCTTTACACACTTGACAAAATCCTGTGAGAATCAACAGTTTTGCCAAAAAAACAAAAAACAAAACAAAACAAAAAACCCTTGAGTCTCAGGAGAATGAATGCCAAATGTAATTTCCTGGGGGGGGGATGGGCATTACTTTATGAAACCTGTTAGAGGCTGTCAAACTCCAAGTACAGCACTAGGTGCTGCCTAAGTAGCTTCATTGCTCCAAATAACGAGTGCTAGGGAAGCAGTTAATGATCGGGCAGACTTTACAAAGAAAAACTGGATTTACTCAGGATGAGATTAATATAATCTGAAAAAAAAGGAAGAAATGAATTATGGTGGGGAGGAACTTCCTGCCCTAGAAACGGGGTAATCACAAACGGGGGCGGGGAAGAGAGGCCAGTGGCCGCAGCGCCTCGCCGTTTGCAGCAGGAGGCCCGCCCACTTGCGCGAGGGGCCGCGCGGCCGCCCGCGAACGCCGCGGGCCCGTGGGGGGGGGGTCCCGCGCGGGGCCAGGCCCCGGCAGCCGCCTCCTGCGGGCAGCGAAAGGCGGCTCTGCGTATCCTCGGCCCAGCGCTCACTCGCGGTTGCCATTTTCCTCCAGTGCCCTGATTGACATGTCAAACGGACCAAAACACCCCTCTCCCCAGCTACTTGCATCTGTCCCGCGACCGCCGCAGCTGCAGGCCGCCGCCCCGGGCGGCTCGAGGCGGGAGGGACTGAGCCCGGAGCAGCCCACAGGGGCCGGGCCGCGTCGCTTACCCAGACGCCGCCGCGGCGGCCAGCCGGCTCCTCCGTGCGGGAGGGGCGGCTCCCGCGCCGCGCACGTCACGCGGCGGCGCCGGCTCACGCACCCCGCGCCCGCTCTCGCGCGGCTTCCCGCGCCCGCCGCCCCGCGATGGGCCCACGTGACCGTGCGCCTGGTAGCCGGGGAACGAGGGGCGCGGGGGCCGGAGTGTGCGTGCGTGCGTACGTGCGCGCCCGCCCGCCTACTCAAGTGGCCCGGCGGGGGTCTGCCCGCGCTCGGGGTACCTCCGCCACGGTCCCTGGTCGTGACTCTTGAGGCGGAAGCGTGGAGACGAGCCTGGGCGTCACAGGCTCCCCACACACAACCGCGTGACCCGGGGACTTTCCCCAGGGTGTGCAAAAGCACTGCACTGCCTCAGTTTGGGGGTGGGGTGGGGGTGGGGAGGGATGCGCCCGCGTGTTCGCGGGGAGAGGGGTGGGGGCGCGGGGCCAAGAAGGCTGAGCCGCTGGAGCCGGGAGCGGAGGCGGGCTGGGCTGGGGTGGGGCATGGCGGGGGAAGTGACTCAAGGCCAGAGGCGGACAGACCCATGGCAGGCGGAGTGGGGGGAGCGCGGGGAATGGGCGACCCGGGCCGACGGGCGGCGCACGGGGCAGGACCAGGGCGCCGGCGCCCCCAGGACGCCAGGGGCGAACTGCGAGGGAACGCCCTGCTGCTGAACCCTCCGGGGCAGGGGTCTGACATCTGGACGGAGTGGGAAAACGGCATCCTGCCCTTGGGGAGTCGGGAGGAGCCCAGTCCCATCCAGCTGTGCAAACAGGAGGAGGAGGAGGTCCCAAGCCTACCCTTGGGAGAGGGGCGCGAGGGGTGGTAAAGCCGCCGCCGCGCCGGCCCCCGCGGTGCGGGTTGCGCCAGCCTCCCCGGAGCCCGACGCAGAAACTTGTTGCAAACAAACAGGCGACCGCGGGTGCCCCTAGCAGCCAGCGGCGGAGTGGGTGGGCGGGCGAGAGGGAGGGGAAGGCTGGCGGACGCCGCAGCGAACTGGTGGGCCGACCCGGAGTCGCCGCGTAAGCGGGGCCGGCTCAGTGCGGTGCGGCAGGCGCGGCTGTGCGGCAGCGGAAGTCCTTTGTTGCAGCACAGTCCCTGGCAGAGCCAGAGCCTCTCCGCGCAGCCCAGCCCGAACGCCGCGCGCCGCCGCCACTGCAGCTCGCGGCCCCTTCGCCTCCGCCCGCCTTTCCCGTGGCCGGTTTGCCTTAAACTCCCTAAAACCTCCGCAGCCCCGGTTCCTGCCGCGGCCGGTGAGTATCTGCCAGTTGTGGGGCTATTTGCGCAACTTTGGCCCGGGCGGCAGGACGCGGGACGCGGGCCGCGGGCCTGGCGGAGTGCGGGGCCGGAGCGGCGCCGACCCGTGCGGGGATCCGGAGCGCGGAGGACGCGCCGCGAGGACTCGGCGGCGGGCGGCTGCCGGGCCGCCTGCCCGATCCCGCCGTTCGCCGGCGCGCCGGGTCCGGGACGTGCGGCCTCCCTAGGTCCGAAGCGAAGCCCCCGCGGAGACCAGTTCCCAAATTAGTTACCTTCTTTTCCTTTTCTTTCTCTGCCTTTATTTTTTTTGGGGTGGGGGGGAGGGGAGGTGTAGACGGGAGGCGGGAGGACCGGGTTGATTGACGTGCCGGAGCCCGCTTCTCTCAACTTACAGCTGCGGCTCCTCGGCGGGTGGGAGGGGAAGTGTCCCGGAGCCCGAGGCCGCAGACTTGGGCGCGCTCCGAGGGAGGAGGCGTAAGAGCCGTGCAAATTCTTGCCACGCTCTTTTCCACCCCGTCTTGTCGGCACACACGCTTTTTGTTCAGTGAAAAGTAGTGAGTCTCGGGTTTGGGAATTTTCAGTGGAAAAGATGTGTTTCGTGGGAAGAAAGTGCTTTCGATTCCGGTGGTGGGCGCTTGCTAGAAGTTCTGTTAGTGTTGGGTAAATGTGTTGTAGATCGGGAGTCGTTACCACTAAAATACGTAGGCTTGGGTCTGAGCTGAGCCAGCCTCCCAAGCCTCCCTTTTTACCTAAGCAGCGCGTCTGTAGGATCTGAAAGGTTGACATGACCTTTTCCAAATTGGGAGCGTTGGGGAGATGTCGATGAAAATCTTTGATGCTTTCTGGGGACAGTAGGGTATCCGTATGATACTACACCAATCGAGCTTCAACGTGGTAGGTACGCGCGGATTCTCCACTGGCCTAACTGTATTTCCATAGCGTATGTCTCACTGTCTCACAGCAGAACTATTACAGGAAAAATTTTCTCGAACCCAAGGAATAGTTCCAGGCTTTTTGAGGCGACTTAGAATCAGTTTCTTGAATTCAAGGCACTTTGGAGCAGAATTGGTGAAGGATGCAGTTCTCATGTTAACTTCAAAACAATCGCTACCTTCTCCTCTGAAACCAAGAAATTCGATTCAATGAAATTTTGCCAGTGCAAATGAATACGATGGGAAAATTGGGACACAAAAAGATGAAGCTTGAATGATGGCTAGCCATCACAACCTCAAAACTTTCTTTTTGATTCACTCGGCTGGCTATGTGATGCAGTCTCAATAAGTGAATGGGTTTGGGTGCTAGATGGGGGCTTCCTCATTTTTTTTTTTTTAAGATTTTATTTATTCACGAGAGACAGAGAGAGAGAGGCAGAGACACAAAGCAGAGGGAGAAGCAGGCTCCATGCAGGGAGCCCAATGCGAGACTCGATCCTGGCTCTCCAGGATCACGCCCTGGGCGAAGGTGGAGCTAAAACGCTAGACTGCTGAGCCACCCGGGCTGCCCCAGGGGGCTTCCTCATCTTAAAAAGAATTGAAACAGGGATCCCTGGCTGGCGCAGCGGTTTGGCGCCTGCCTTTGGCCCAGGGCGCGATCCTGGAGACCCGGGATCGAATCCCACGTCGGGCTCCTGGTGCATGGAGCCTGCTTCTCCCTCTGCCTGTGTCTCTGCCTCTCTCTGTGACTATCATAAAATTAAAAAAAAAAAAAAAAAGAATTGAAACATAGGGGTCATGAAACTATTTTCAAAGATCAATACAGTCTACAGTAGAGCCTTTAATTAACATCCTACATTCATTTTAAGAGATTTCTCCATTACGACCAAATTTTCAGGGTGTAGAATAACTCAGGTTGTTTGTCCTTTCCTAAACCCCTTTCTATTCTTCCCACTCCAATGTGATGGCCTACTTGGGGGAATAAGTGAGGGAGCCCTGGTACATCATTGTCAGAGAAAAAAGAAACTGTATTTAACCAGGACCTTAGCAGGGCATGAGCACAGTCTCAGCCACTTGCTCTTGACCTTGTGTTTTGATTTCACATTGACAGTGCTAAATTCTTGTAGTTTCCTTATTCTCATCTTTTGCAGGGCTCTGGAGAAGATAAGTTCATGGAGCTTTTTAAGAGTGTGTCCATTTTTCTTGCAGCACCATTTTCTATCCTAATGTGCAAGAGTAAAGAAGTGCCTGCTTTCAGGCCTGTCTTCCTCCAGCCAGGAAAATAGCCTTTGCTATTAACCTTCTGGCCCAAAGGGGAGGAAACCATTTGGGATACAAAGGCAAAAAAGTTTCCATAGCTTTTTATTTTTACATTGTAATGTGTTGTCTTCCAAGAAAATGGAGTTGTATTTGAAAAACATCTGTTTGAGAGGTCACTTGGGTCTCTGTAAGTTGTTTTCTCCTGATATTTTTTCTTGTGCAAATATATTTTACCCTGAAATATTGACATTGTTATATGCTTTTATGTGAACCAAATTAAAAGTGGTTCATGTCTATTCTGTTTTTTTTCTCAAAATGGAAATACTTATAAAATCTATGCTCTTGGTAAGAATTCAGCCTATACTAGAATACATAAAATACAAAAATGAATGTCATTGATTCCCACTACCCAGAGGTAACTGTTAACAGTCAATTCCTTGTTTAAAACAAGAAGAGGCAACATTTGATTCTAACTGTGCTGTTGTATATGCTTCACTCTGCCTAAGGATGGCCTATGATGATTCATGGCCTTATGTTCTCTATTCCCTACTCAGGTTGGTGAGAATTGACTAGGGGGAGAAAAAGGGAATGTTTTGCATTGGACTGGTTTAAAATTCTATGATTGAGTAACAGATGTGAGCGTTTAAATATAACAGGGCTGCTATTTTAGGTTTGTCCTTATGAAGTACTTACAGTACCTTGGTGGGCTAGTTCTCATACTTTTTCATGCTAATGTTGAGGTCCAACCTTGACGGCTTGATTTATACTGGTCAAACTTGTTTAAAAAAAAACAAACCAAAGCTTCACATTTGTAGAGAGTTTCATAATTTCATAGTTGGGAAGGAGTAGCTATACTTGACATGAAGACCACTGCCTAGATATCCCTGTGCTGATACGGCATGAATGGTTCCCCTTGATTAGTATCTAGAGGTATAGCATGCAAAACATCAAGGAAAGAGAATTAGAATGAAGAAAGGAATTAATGACTCTGCAGTTTTTAGATGTGGCATGGAAGGAGATGGCACATACTTTAGATTTCTAACTATTCTTACATAGTGGCTTGTATGGTAACTACAGAAGATTTTAGTCAAAGTACAGAATCACTTATATTCAAGGAGGATGAGTGTAAAGTAGTTGATGATCTGAAAACAAAGCCCCAAAATAGTACATCGAAGTTTAATCACGACATTGATTATTTGAGAGTATTGGGGACATGGATTTTTTTAATACTACTCTG